CCCATATAAGGTGAGTCACAGTGGGATGCTATAAAATGCGGTTATGGAAGTATAATATCACCCCTAGGTTCAACCTAATTACTCCTGATGTCCTTGATGAGAAACGAGCCCTAGCAGCGGTGTTACATAAAAGATTAAGTAGTGGTAGATGATGAGTCAGCATTTAGGGTGAATCAACAATAAATAGATAAAAGTCCAACAGTATGGGGTGAGGTTATACCATCAATTTTAAGGATAAGCAACGAGAGTAACCTGAAGTTGGTTGCAGACCTTAGTAACGATAAATTAAAGTAAAAATTACACTATAGTATAACCCATGTAGATGTAGTAAAGTCATACGAATAGATAAAAAGATCTATGAAATAAGATATGGCTATATTCGCAACTTCTACAAAGTATCGAGCAAAGAACTCCGGTACACCTATAGCTGCCCAGAGAGGCATCCTATTAAGCTTTGTATATGTTTACAAACTAAGGACTAGAGATTGATTAAAAGCTAAGAGGAAAAAGGAAAGATGAATCGCACAAGCGCACTCACAAAGCCAGGGTCATACAGGCTGCATGACAGAAGGTAGCAGCAGTTGCGAGATTAGAAAGATTTGGACCACAAGTCATGATATGAGCAACAAGACCAAAGGGGAGAATACCCTAGACTTTGGAATTATTACAGAGTAACTACTTAAATGGCAAGGAGAATATTAAGGTATTCACAAGAGCTATAAGTTTTGAAAATGATAAGAGCATCAGTCAACATTCAAAGACGAATGTTCCAAAGGGGGGAATGATGTTACACCCCGCAATATTATGATGGTGTTACGTCCTGCAGTATTATATTACGATGATATTACGCCTTGCAGTATTACATTACGATGATTTTATGCTTCGCAGTATTAAGTTACGACAATGTTGAACCCTGCAGTATTATATTACAGTGATATTACGCTTCGCAGTATTAAGCTACGACGATGTTGCACCCTGTAGTATTGTACGTTGAATTAGTCGTAAGGTAATTGACATCGGTCCAAGTAAAGATTATTTAGAGATTATAAGAATTATGCTATTTCACAAGTGATGAGTAAATTCGTGAAGGTGAAAGGGGAAGCAAGTCAAAGAAAATGAATTTTCGTCAAAGTTGGGCATTTTTGGGTTAAAATACGGCCCGAGCTAAAATACCCGGTATTTATGGATTAGCGCCATAGAAGGTCCTACATAACCGTAAGGTGTATAAGGTATGTTAAAAGAGATTAGTATTTTAAGTAAGTTGAGATAATGTTTAATTATACGGGTAATTGGTTAATTACCGGGTAATGGGGCATTACCTAATTACCAAATAAGAGGATAATGACTAATAATTCCCACCCCACCCCTCCAAAAATATGGCAACTAACCACAATCTAAGACAAGTGACTCTTTAGTCTTCTTGGATAGGTGGCAACTAGGTTAGTAAATCAAGAGACACATCATTTCTTATGTTCCTTATACAAATCCTTACAATTCAAAGAAAGTTAACTATTTTCAAAAGCTTTCAACAATCTGATCCTTTGGAAATTTACAAGTCAAAATTATTAGCATTTTGCCATCCAAACCAAACGTTAGCATTTCCTGGAAAACGTTGGTTATTTTCAAGCTTTCAAAGTTTAATTTTCAATTCTTGCAAAGAAAGACACCAACATGATGTTAGAAACAAGACATTAGCAATGAGATTTCTTGCAATCAATTCTCCTACAAGAATATTATACGAATTCTTTCCTACTCCAGGCATGTTAAGGTTATCCCTTCTTTCTTTTGGCATGATCTATACGACACAAACGAAACGTGCAAATGCACAAATTCCATAAATGACTCTATTCATAGAAGTATTAGAGATATATATGTTCTTGAATTTCCATGTGTCAAATATTTTATCATCTATTCATGGGTCTCAAAAAAATACGAAAGTTGAAAAGAGTTTACTTTATGATATTACTCAAAGGCAAAATGGTCTTATGACGTTCCGAAAGATTTTATTAACGTACTTTTCATGCATTGCATTCATGTACATTGACTCATGACCAGATGGCATTATATACTCGTATATATGTATGTATATATATGTATATGGGATATGGGAAAGGTTATGGCGTTATATACGCACCACCACCTGATCAGCTGGTATACGTTGATGATTTTGCCCACAGTGGTCAAGATGATATGATGGGATGCCCTCAGAGGCTGATGATGTTATGAGACATGTACCTATGCACAGCATGACATTCATACGCATATGCATGATACTATAATTATTTCATGATTTACAAAGTTTTCAGATTTACAGGTGGAGTCATTTACTCTATATTTCCTCCATGTTTGTTATGTGCTTATTTATGTACCTTACATACTCAGTACATTATTCGTACTAACGTCCCTTTTGCCTGGGGACATTGCGTTTCATGCCCGTAGGTCCAGATAGACAGGTCGAGAGCCCTCCAAGTAGGCTATCAGCTCAACAGAAGATGTTGGTGCACTCCATTTGCTTCGGAGTTGCGTGTTTGGTTAGTATGATTTAGACGTGTATTGTTTGGTATGGCAGGACTCTGTCACGACCTTTATAATAATTATGTACTCTTAGAGGCTTGTAGACATATGTCGTGTACGTGAAAGATTGTACGGCCTTGTCGGCCTATGTTTTGAGTTTATAAAGGGTCATGTTGGCCTATTAGGCCCGTATGCCACGTGTATATGATGATGTAATAAGAAAAATACGTTATGTTGGTACTTGGTTGAGTAAGGTACCGGGTACCCGTCGCGGCCCATCAGTTTGGGTCGTAACACATACGTTAATAGAAGTAGAGATTGAGTTAACGAATGCGATGAGTCGCTTGAAACAATATGAAATACGATCCCTATAATGTACCAAATTAATTTGTAAAGGTAAGTTATACGAATCTCAAAAGCCTTTTGCTAGTATGTCACGACGAATATATAAATCTGAGAGTATGAGTTTCCTTAAAGCTAATGTGTAGGGAGTACTAGTTGCCGAATACGAACTAAGAGTTACCGAAAGTACTAGAATAAGTTATACATTATAGACACGAGTAACTAGCTTGAAAGATATTGACTGTTGCATGTTGTAATGTTATTTATGCATAAGTACATTCCCTATGGACGATCTATGAATGCGTAGGGGGGTAATAAAGGTTAACCTATGGACTGTCTATGAAATGCATAGGTAAGATAAAGGTTGGCTATGGACGGTCACATGTGTACGTATAGTCCGACCCGAATATTTTGAGTCGTACGAACGGTCTGCTTTGTTATGCTACGTGCCACCAGATAGTAATGTTGTAGTGTGCCTTACGGACGGTCTACCTTGCTACGCGTAAGAGCCGCTTTGTGTTCTAATAATAAGTAAAAACGACGATGCAACAAGAGATCACCGAGCAACGGTTGATAGAAATAGTTCAGAATCTTATGATAAGTTGAGTTGTTCAATCAGATTGAAGGACCAAATGGTCCAAGTGATAGTGATCTAGTAAGTCGATCTAGAGTACGTGGTAAGCTCACTCTTCTTGACTATTTCTGTGTTCATTAATGCTTTTGAGTTTTCAGAATTTATTTATATGTATTACTTTCTGCCTTACATACTTGGTACATCTAATTGTACTAACGTCCTATTGCTGGGGCGCTACACTTCATGCCTACAAGTGCAAGTTTTTTAATCATGACGAGCCCTCAAAGTAGATAGGATTGATATTCACTAGGAAATCGGTGAGACTCCATCTCTTCCGGAGTATAGTCAAGTCTAGAGGTCATGATATCAGATTTTGTTATAGACTTACGGGTAGGTCGGGGCCCTGTCCCAACTCTCAACGATATTTTGATGTCATATACTCTTAGAGGCTTTGTAGACACAGATTCAGTATGTACAGTATCTTAATGGCCTTGTCGGGGCTCATTTATGTTTTCTTTCTGGGTTGTCCAGTATTGATACTCATAGTGACCTCCTCGGCCCGAACATGTATTGATGTTTTGAGTATGATGTCTAGTTGATACAACGGTTGGCCGCCTACGATATATTACGAGTTGCGGCCATGATAGGTTATAGTATGATAGAGTTTGGCCATGTTGGCCTACGTATGTTCTGGGTTACATCCAGCATTCAAGAGTTGCAGAGTGGTTCGCTCGGGCCAGTACGGCACCGGATGCCAGCCACGCCTCAACTAGATTGGGGTGTGACAGCAGCACTGAATGATCAGCATGGTGAAGAGAGTATATACTTTGGAAACTACTATTGCTATGTTGTAAAACCTGGAGTTTTTGCTGGAGCAGCTATCTTGTACCTTGCTAGTGTTGCTCTTGGAATTGTCTATTATCTTTCCCAGAACCCCGTAAAAAGCAGTAACGATCCATGGCATCCACCAGCACCAAGATAAGGTGGCATTGCAATGGGACACCCCCAGTTTCATCCGCAGACGAGTTAGGAACCAGTTTTTGTGCATGAAGATACTTACATGAGAAGGCTGTCTACTTGATCGCCCCTAAACCTTGCAAGAACAAAGAGACAGATGTTTAGAGCACATACAGTTTCTGTTAGCAGCATTTGTTCTATTTGCCAACTCTAACATAAAATTTCTTGTTTGTTATTTTTTCTTTTTTTCTTTTTCTTTTTTAATTGCTTCAGTAGTGATGGCACAATTTGTTAAAAATATGACGGTCTATAGCACGTATCTTAAGGTGTCGAGTGTATCATCTTTTGTCCACTCTTGTATCTTATAACATAACACCTCTTTTCTTTCTTTTTTACTTTGTGAATTCTGTTTTACATATCCTCAAACCCAACTTGTGTGAACTTACTGGGTTTTTTGTTGTTGTTTTACATGGGTTTATGCTAGGGGAAGAGCAAGCTGAAGCTGTCAATACTGGCTTCCCTTTATTTGAAGTTTACCTGAATCAGTTTCCTGGACAGTGTAACTTTCAAGAAAGTTAGTTGATTTGTACAGACATGAACTACAATTAAGATGGATGTAAAATAATATTCTTAATGGTCAAACTGGGACATTTTACAGAAACAGCCCAATTAGGCATATTAAGAGAGATTTAAGAGAATCCTTTCGTAAATAGAGAGTTGGACCAAGGATTCATATTACCACGAGCCAAAAAACATAATTCTGAATCCATTTGGACGTACATCAATGTTCCACCAACAAACAAAATGATCTATGCACAACCGGCCGATACCTGCATACATTACACTATTCTCAATGGCTGTAAACTACTAAGCCAATTAAAATCTGTTGAATCCTCTATGGATCTACAACGCCCAAGCTGGAACTATAACCCGTACACTGGATATATTCCCTACATTAGGATCTAAATACTCTACATCCAGTCAATCGTTCCCTTGGAAGATGAGCCAATGTTCCAAGAAAGAGCGGTTCTCTACTGTGAGAATTTTGAGAATAAATATTTTTAAAAAATCAAAAACTAGGATCAGCTGGACAGGATCGTTCATGATAACAAACTCCATGAATGCAAACCACCTATTGGGTATTAATGGAGTCAAATTAGCTTCTGCGCAAACTCTCCATATCATGAATCCACCATTTCGTCTTGTATCTCATTCGGTGCGATAAGCCCTGGAATGGAAAGCATCCTTTGTCTCTCCGTCTCTCTCTGTGCAGCAACTTCCTCAGCATAAAGGTCCTTGTTGTCCTGCAGATCAAGTCGACATATTGAAGAAACTAGAACATCAGAAATCCGGAAACTAAAAACAGAAGACCAAAAAGGAAAAGAGATAAAAGTAGAGGTCTGAAACAAAACAGCTAGAGATTTAATAGCTTCACTGCTATTAAGTCAATATGGAATAGCTTGACAACCTTATTCCATCCCTCGAGGTCGAGGAACCAATACATGTCCCACAATTTTGCAACCCCAAAAAGGAGAAGGAATATGACTACACAAACCAGATCAAGTAACAAATGTGGTTTTCGCAGTTAACATTAATTGCTAGAGATTGAAAACAACACACACCAGCAACAACAACATACCCAGTAAAATCCCACTGTGTGTGAAAACAACACACACCAGCCAAACACAAATTTCAATCACTAGATTAATGGCTTATATGTATTTAGTAATGACTTTACTGGAAGAGGATAGCAAAATGGAAGACAACCCCACTACACAAAACCCCGCCAGAAACTATGGGTGATTGGAAACTTAAAGGTCTCCATGAAATAATAACCTGAGCAGAGAATTCTTTGGACTGAACAAGGAAATCTCTTATGTGATTCTTGAATGTGGGCAGGTCATTCGTTGATTCAAATAGCCCACTCACAAATTGGGTAACCTGAAAAGGAACAGAAGTTCTAAAATTTAGGGAATAATGTACACCACAAAATATATGAGAAACATCATCTAAAAGGTTTTGCTCACCTCGGCCGATGTCATGTTCGGAAATGATGAGCTAAGAAGTTTAATGGTGTATTCACGGACAAATGTCGCATTATTTGGATAAGGAAAAGGCACTGTTGATGCATCCCATAGAGGCTCAGTCAACCTGCCAGACTCAACCTGTAACCAGAATAACACTAATGTGACGTACATGCTAATGCAACTGGGCAGAGCACTTTGTCAGGCAGATACATACCAGGCAAAATAAATGCTGTAGCACCAATACATGCAGTTTAAACCCAGGTTTATGAAATGTGTCCGTCAGCACAGCGAAAATCTCTTGCTCAATTGTCAAATAGTAAGTCCTGTAAAACTGGTTAGCGAACTCGGATACCTGCCAAGAGATAGAAAATGGTTACACCACCCAGTCACATAGAACAAAAATCATTATAGATGGGCCAATAATCAGCNTGGGCCAATAATCAGGAAGCACCTGAAAATTCTTGAGCATCTCCAATAAAAGGTTAAGCCCAGTTTCAGCAATGTTCCTCTCAGTGTGCCGGAAGGCCCATACAATAGAGTCCATAACAAGCTTTACTTGCTGATCATCAATCAGGAAAAAACATCAAAATCCAGCATAAGCTCATATTAACTTAGAGAAAGAAATGACAGCCATATCAATGTATTTCTGAAAAGTGCTTTGAATATACAAAAAAGGTGCTTTGAATACACTACACCAAGAATGAGCCATGGGATCACATACCTCACTTGATAGTCGTATTAAAGCAGGAAAACAATGTGTAGCAATTGCCTGAAGTAACGAAAAGAACTTGAGCCGATGTTCTGGATAATCCTCAAAGTTCTTCGTGATCATCTGCTGTCCAGTAAACGAATGATCAAACTGATAATTCCCTAATAGTTATTACAAAAATCACATTATCTATAAAGCAACTAGACAGCCTTGTGCTGGTGGGGCACATTATATCCTCACAACTTACCATTTAGTTCAAGGNCAGTTGGTAGACATGTCTGTCATCTATGCATATATCTCTGCAGAAAAACTTCAATGGCTCCGTGTTAGTCATATATCCTCAATATAATCAACCGATGAAGCAGCAGTTGAGTACAGAAGCAAGCAATTGACAAACAAGAAAAGATTGTGAATATGAGCAGAATCACTCCAATTAATGCACATGGAGGTATCAATAAAATAAAATCATACATCTGTAAGCTCTCTCATTGTTCCGCAACAAAAATCAGCCAACAGAAAGCTCCTATAGCTTCAAATAGCACTTTGTAGCTTAATGTAATGCTTCAGTACTCCTCGATGTAAAGACAAACACTACATACAAATTTACCGCACAATTCACTAACCTCCAGAGTACACTGGAATACAGCTTCAAATATCCGAGGCACATCCTCTATCATAGCACCCTTGTACCTACACAAGGAAAAAAATAGAGAAGCAAATTTAGCATAGTTTGCCATTACTGACAAATATAGCATAAAGCAGTAACTCATGGACATCACTTCTGTTCAGTGCGACTTAAAAAGTTGCAGGTAATTCATATGGGAGCAAACTATCACATTTAACATTTGGAGTGGGAAGGTTCATTCTAATAAAGGCAGATTCAATTTTCTATTGTTAATCTTTCTGCCCTGCAGAGTGCCAGTTGGAAGGGGAATGAATAGCTTACTTGTTTATAATTGTAGCAAAAAGAGAGAGAACTTCAGATTCCCTGGCATCAGGAACATTTCTCGTGTAGTCACCTAAAACTGGATCCATCATGGGCGGCACAAATTGCTTTCCAATATGTGGTTGATCTTCAGCCTTGTCCAGAAATGTCTCCACAAGCTTTAACGTTTCCCTCTTTACTGAGCTGTCTCTCATCAAAACCCAAGTGAGATGCATGACAAAAAGTTGGATAAAAAAGGAGCAAACTAAATAACTAGACCATACCGCAAAAGTTTCACAATGGATGTCCTAGACGCATAGGGCCCTCCTTGTGCAATGCTTGTTGATATCAGCTCGCTGTACATTCTGCAGTTATAAAAGCTCGCCATTAAAAACCAACGAATAAAACCTCACTAAGTGAAGCAGCAACATGTACATTGAAACACCAAATTAGGGCCCACATCATATAACATAGAATAACCCAACAAGATAAAGGAAGAGGGACACAACCAATGATGTACCTGTAAACATTGAGCATGTCCAGAAATATGAGAGTAATTTGAGGCAAGAAATATGTCCCAAGGGAGCTAGCAGCACTGGTATTTGTCTGCACAGGAAAGAGAAAAAAACACAGAAGCAAATGCTCAGAATAAGAGATTTTCAAACAGAAGTTTAGTTCTTACCAAAATCGTTAAATATGAAATAGAAAATGTGAAGATCAATTTTTAAAATAATATTAACCAATCCAACAACTATAAAAGCAACTACAATTTTTTTATTTTTTAAAGATAAAGATTTTATTAATAAATGTGCCAAGGAGGTACACAAAAGTACAAAACAAACACCCCCTACAAAATTTGGACTCAGAAGAATACTGCTTGCTTTGAGAACAAAAAGAATCATATTTCCAGAATCAAGAACCTTTGTTTGCACAAATTTTGGAGAGAAAAAAAGTAACATGAAAGTACTAAAAAAGGCCAGCATTAGTAATCACAATGTAGAGCTTATATTGTGTTCAATACAGTCCATTAGATTCTCATAGTGCCTAATGTGTCAAAAGGCACTACATTTTTGTGACTACCACATAACCAAGGTAGAACTCGAACGAGATGTTAAATTGAAACTGGCATGAGGATCACTTGATACATAGATGTTGGAGAATGAATTGGAGGTCTTTATGCATCGTTCACTGGAAATACAGTACCGGTCATTGTGCAGAACATATAACATGGAAGGAGAAAATGGACGTTCTTCATACACAACTTTTACAATTCAAATCCCCAACTGAATGCTGAGAAAGGGGAATATCAGTTTTAAGAAAATGCAATCAGCAAAACGCGCCACTATGGCAACTGAAACATATTGAGAAGGAACCACAGATTTTAACTTCTATAAGAAACATACCTGCAATATATTTAACACTGCCCTAATAACATCTTGATCTTTCAGGTAATCAACATTTTGCCGCGCCTGTCCTATAATTTCGGCCCATTTCTAGCCCAGAGAAAAGGTATTCATAAGTCATAAAAAAGTGTAAGCTCCAAGAATATTTAAAGTACAGCCATAAATATACCACATTGTTAACACACAAAAAACACAGCATTTGAAGCCAAGTTTCAATCTGAATTATATAGTGTGGGTCTTGCCTGATTCGGAAGATCCATTAACCTCTGCAAATACTCATCTCTTTTTTGGGGATCTGATTCTGCTTGAATCATCTGACCAACCTAAACAAATGACAGTGATACACCCGATCATTACAAAATAAGCGATTTTATATGAACAAGGGAACAAACGAGCAAAAGTTTATCACGAGAACTTAATTTCTAGAATGAAGTCCTTACGGATTCGTAAAAGGTATGAATCTGATGAGGCGCCAAATCTACAATTGTTGTCGGAAGAGTAGTTAAGAGTTCAGAAACAAATGGCTCATTTTCTCCAACCTGAAAACAAGGAAAGAAAACATTATAATATCTATTCCTCAGATTCTAAGAAAAATGATAGATGAGACAATATTCTTACCTGAACAATAACAAATTTGCGCTTGCACTTCTGGACTATTTTCAAAAATGTATCACATGCCATATCCTATAAAATAAGAGAGAGTCAATATCCAAAATACCAGAAATGATGCTATCTCAGTAAACCATAGGTAAAATTAAAAAGCACATGAAAAGAAATAGTTGGTTTCAATCCTGTGTTAGACCACATGGTGATATAGAAACCAACCATGCAAGCCACCCTCCCCTCCACCATAAACAGGACAGACACACAGATCAGTGCCTGACACATTCCATCACTTAATTAATAACCAAATTCTAATTGGGGCATCAAATTCCTGATACCATCTCTGTATTATTGCATTAGATGCTTCAGGATTACCCCTTAAAAATGAAAACTAAAATACAGGCACTACCACAACAATCATTGTGAACCAACCACTCAACCATTGTGCAATTTAAAGCATTACAAAAGACTTGAGAGTCTAAGAACAACAAAAAGACTACAACTAGCAAATGAGGGAATCCTTAAGTTATCAAATTTTCTAGTATAGAATAGAAGAGAAGATTCCAGCAAGGAGTCACAAAGAAGTAGAAAAGCAACTGAATTGATTCAAAAGAAGCCAAACAAAACCTGCACTCCAGGATGTGATTCATGCATGAATTCAAACAGTTTGTTCACAACCGTCTTCAAAAACTTCCAGTGAGCCCTCAAAAATCTTGGATATTGCCCAACAACATACCTGGCAATGGACCAATGAAGGTCATGAACCATGCACCATATAACAGAAACAATTCAGGCTACTGATAGGCCACAAACACTATCAAAATTAAGGATAAACCACATTGTGAGCAAAAGTTACATTTTAACTGCTAAGTAACCACATAAAGCAAGTGACAATTGGAACTTTATTCTTACATTATATTACTAGCAATTACAGCTTTGTTGTCTTTTCCTTTGGTGATTTCACAGAGATTTAGCAAATCACGTATCACCATCACAAGAAACCTGTTCTCCTGCCAATAGATAACTCAACAGAAGTAGTGAAGAAGAGAAATCTTAGTATAGGAAAATCTACGACATAAAAAGGCGAATCCTATCAATCAATCAAATGAAAGATGCCAAATAAGAGTCAATAAAGGTATTGAAGGGCAACCAAACCAATAAACCAAAGTCTACACGTGCTATACTGCTATTACAGCTTTTTCAGCCAAATCGTTGCCTATAATGTGCACAGACTGATATTATTTGGAAAAGCATTTCAAATGGACGCTAAAACTGAACATTTATAATCATTACTAGTTACAAGCCTCAAACATTTCAAAAGAACACTAAAACCGAAGGTTTGCACTCATTACTAGTTACAACCTTCTGTTACGAAGAAAAGGAAAGATGATAAGAGCTCCTATCATTAAATAAGGTTGAGAATTCAAAGGCCAATCAGACATTCTCATTCTAACTGAATTAACTTAACTCTTGTACAACCACAAAAAAAACAAACTAACAAAAGAGATAAAAGAGAGTTTAGGGGTTCAGATGAAGAAAAAGTAAAATTATAACCCAAATCGTCGCATATGATAAAAAAGAGGTTGCTTGTCCAAAAGTGAAAACAGAAATCCACCAATGAGAATCATATGATTGATGTCTGAAACCAGTGAAACTCATATAAGACTCGAAGTGAAAAACTAAAAAATGTACCTGCTCATCCATCATAGACCCAGATATGGATCCTATTGCCCAGCACAATGTATTTAAATTGTTCCATGACCAGTCCTCACCATTGAGTTGTTTGCTAAGTTTCTTCAACATCTGATGCAATACAAACATATTAGAACTTTATGAATCCAGAAGCACAGAGCACATTTACATCACACGACAAGACAAAATTTCATGAAACCCTAACCTACAAAAAACAGCAATAATAATAGGCATAAGAGAACATTATGAATCCCAAAACAGAACAGATCTATAATTAACATCTCAGAAAAGCCACTAATTTGGTGGACAATTTGGAAGGAGAGGAATGCAAGGTGTTTTGAAGATATAAGTAGCCCTGTACAGGAGATCAAAATGAATTGCATTCTTCTTTTTAGTTTTTGGTGTAAAGCAGAATATAAAGATGACCAGGATTCGGTGCATTAAGCTCCGGCTATGCGCGGGGTCCGGGGAAGGGCCGGACCACAAGGGTCTATCTTACGCAGCCTTACCCTGCATTTCTGCAAGAGACTGTTTCCACGCTTGAACCCGATACCTCCTGGTCACATGGCAGCAACTTTACCAGTTACGCCAAGGCTCCCCTTCTCAAAAACTATAACTAAATTGCAAAAATAAGAAAACAAATTACAGATAAGTTATTGGAACAAATCAGACCTCTTTTCCAACACAAAGTAGTCGGTAAACAATGATGCGTTCATTTGCTGAGTAATTTTACTCATCATTGGATAATACCATTCATCTATAGGTCATTTGGTTGGCCACATAAAAGAATCACATCATAGAATTTCATATAACTAATAAATTATTGGATTTGTGATGTAAACTTTCCATATAATACAACAATTGATTTCTGGTCAATTGCATAATTACAGCACATTTGGTTTACAGTATTAAACCGCACATTACTAGGGCCCGTTTGCTTTTATTAAGATGTCTGAACCTGAATATATCCTTGACTATAAAGACATTGTATCTAGATCTAAACATTGGACAATTAAAACTGCTTGTTTTCTCAAAATCTAAATGTGTCTATTTTTTAGAAACTAATAAATGTAGAATTTAAATAAGTTAATAATGAATATTATATCCACAAAATGCTAGAGAAACTATAAATTTACGCGGTGTTGTATAAATTGTTTCTTTGATGAATCACACTCTAAAAGCTGGGTAATCGGCCATGATGGTCGTAAGGTGATGGTTGGCGGCGGTCATAGTTGGTGGAGATGGTTAGGAGCTGTGGTTGTGCAATGGTGGATAGAGGTGATAGATGTATCGTCGTGGCTAATGGTGGTTGAATAATGGCAGGTTGTAGAGGTGGCTGGTGGTGGAAGAGGTTAGCGAGGGTGGTTGTGTGGTGGTGGCTAACAGTGGCGATAGTTGGTGGTAATAAATAGAGTAGTAAAAGATTACATCAACAAGAATGTTTAAGTATACATCTTAATAATTTTAAGACTGTACAAGATATGAATAGTTTGAACCTTCACAAGCTAATTAGTGATTGTGGAAGGATAAAAATAAATGCACTTAATAGGCTGAGATTTGAATAATTCAGATTCTGACCCCCGTTAAGTGAACAAATGGGCTTACTACTTATGTGGGAGCCTGTTTAATATTTAATGCAAGACGGAATATTGGAACAAGAATACCAGTATTAGCAATAAATGCCCTTTAAGTATGCAATCCCTACATAACACAATCTCAATATCATTACTCACTATAGAAAAAAACCTACATTATTATTGGTCGTACCACAATCAGCACATTGTTTGCCCGCGTATAAATAATATCCCTACATAACTAGCCCTTAAACAAAACGAACTGTAGCAGTTGGTTCACATACTAGTCAGTGGGGATCATAATGCAAGTATCATTTATGCAATGATTAATAATAAAGAATTTGTTTTTATAAAGTAATGATGACGAAATTGTTTTGCGGTGATTAATAATGAACAGATTGTTATACATAAATAACTTATTTTAAAAGGGCATTTTTGTTTGTAAATAGCTTAATCCTAGCATCGCTAATACACATATACTTATTTCACATTCTATCGTGCACAGAATAATACATAGATTATTTAATATTGTAAACCAAACGGTGCATTAAAGTTATGCGGCGATTATTTTTCCTTATACGGCAAACCAACACTGTATCCTTATGAAGATGTTTATACTGAAATTAATTATTCCAATACATCAACCAAATGACGCTAGGAGTTTTAGGGTAGCTATTGAACCCTCCACAATGAACAATTAATAGCACTCAACTGAAAATTAACCTTTCTCAAATTACAATTGATTATGCTTTTAGAAAAATTTCAGCATGCCAAAGACAACTTTAATACTTCAAAAAAGATAGCTCTAAGGGAAGCACACCTGCTTTTCGGTATCTTCGTGATCAAGATGTGACAAATAGATCAATGTTTCCCTCATGATCTGCAGCATTAGACATTTGTTATGAATGAGAAACAAATGGAGAATACGCAACCCAAAGAACATGTATTAGCTCTGTACACTTTAGTCAATTAATGCTATACACCTCCTCAAAACCGGCCCAGAAAAAATAACAGGTACAGAAACACAATTTCCAGAAGAAATTTTCAATTTCACTAATTTATCAGCAAAAAAAAAAGAATTTGATACAAATTAGAATGCGGAAATTAAAGAAACGAGGATAAAAGAATAGAAATTGAGAATAGACCAACAGTAGCAATTAAGAAACAATTGATAAAGACCAACCACTAATTAGCAAAACAAAGTGAACCTAATCTTGAGGACAACTTCAAGTGGAAGAAATCCACTTGAAAAACACCCTTGCAAGATGTGTTCAACAACAGCCATCACCATTTCACTCTCTCAAAGAGAACACATTATCAAACAAAAACTAGTCTCCCTAAAAATGAAAGCCTTAAGAGCTATTTATACTAGGAGGGTATTTAGCTAACAAGAGACCTAAATACCCCTAAGCTAAAGACCTAGGAATCTAAGTAGTCACTTGTTACAAATATAGCCTCCAACTACATGTAGTCTTCAATTGATGGCCAAATTACATGTAGCCGCCCAATTGTGGGAGCAGCCATCAATTGACATCTAAAGCGCATGAAGGCTATCTTGGCTCGTATTAGATTTTCAATTATCATAATCCATACAATTTATAGAACCACATTTACAAATAGTTTAATCCGACGCATGCAACATCCTATGCGAGTTAACAGATTATTCTAAAAAGAGATAGAAGACCTTGTATTGCACAAGGACATCATTGTCCTTCATTGTTTCACGGACAATGTTCCCATTTTCATCTTCAACAATGAGAACTTCTTCAGGTTTTGCCATCCGAGAGATCATAAGTAATCTCAACTTAGACATTGGACCAGCATAAAGTTGTCTCCTCTGCATAAGTTGTGCACCAAGTCCATCATCCATACCAGGAAGCATGGGCATCTGCTTATTCAACACAAAAACTAGCACATCAGCAGCTTTATAGAAACCGACATGCAACTAAGAGAAATACACAACTAACAAGTAATAATCCATATAGGCAATAGCAACCTATCCTTAGCAAAAAGTTTTAAGGGATCCTTCTTTCTTACTGTGCCAAAAAAGGGTTTTGAAGTATACTTAAAACGGCATAAAAGTTTTCCAACATAATACCAAGCTGTCAATAATAGCAAGCAAATCACCCACTTATATTTTTTTGTATAGACGCCATATGTTTTCCAAAAAGGAGGAAGTTGGATGAATAAGACTTGATCTGGGTAGGACTATCTTGATGATGACCAACAAACAGACACATTAACAAGCCCATCCGGTGGGAAATTCTAATCCTATGAGATAAGGGCATTTAACTGTAACAACCCGACCGGTCATTTTGAACTTTTGCACTTTGATCGCCAGTTCCCGGGCATTACTTGCCACGTGTAACGTATTATGACTGATGTAGATCGTTGGTTTTGGTTTTCAGAAAAAATAGAATGAATTTGAAGGAACAGTCTCAGTTGAAAGCTTTGAATTTGAAAGGTTTGACTAAGAGTTGACTTATTTGTATATGAGCTCGGATAGGAAATTTTATGATTTGGATAGCTTCGTTGGGTGATTTATGACTTAGGAGCGCGATCGGAATGCATTTTGGAAGTCCGTGGAAGGATTTGGTTTGAATTGACAAAGTTAATATTTTGGCGAATTCCGGTTGATAGGTGAGATTTTGATCCGAGGGTCGGAATGGAATTCCGAGAGTTGTTGTAGCTTCGTTATGTCATTTGTGAAGTGTGTGCAAAATTTCAGGTCATTTAGATGTCGTTTGGTCGGCTTTTTAATCGAATTCGGATTTCGGAAGTTTTGGAATTCTTAGGCTTGAATCCGAGGGTGATTTGATGTTTTGATGTTGTTTTGAGCGTTTCGAAGGTTGGAACAAGTTTGAATTATGTTATGGGGTGTGTTGGCATGTTTGGTCGGGGTCCCATGAGGCTCGGATATGTTTTGGAAGAGTTTTTGGAAGATTTTGCCGTTTTGAGCATAAGCATGTAATGATCCAAAGGTCCATTTTTAGTTCTAGAGATCGAAATTTGATTTCGAGACTTCCGAAATTTTGATAATGAATTATAGGACTTATCTGGAAAGTCTGGTCTAATTTCATCAAGTCACGATTGGGTTTTTGACACGAAACATGAGTTAATTGTTTAACGAGCGAAATGGGTATTGAACTGAGCAAATGAGCTCCGAATTGAGTTTCGACTGAAGGGCTATGTTCGTATTATTATTTGTGACTCATAGGAACAAGAATCATCGAATTCCGAGTTCGTATGATGGAGTTAGAGCCTTTTTAGTGAAAAGAAAAGTTGCTGCAATTTTCTGGGCAGTTTCTGCATTTTTCGCACGTGTGAACAGTAACAGCACCTGCGTGAACAGTATCCGTGTACAGTACCATGTACAGTAAACATGAATAGAATCCGTGTATAGTACATATGAACAGTACCTCGTGAATAGTATAGTGAACAGTATCGCGTGAACAGTACCCAAACGCGTGAACAGTGCCCCGACATTTTCTGGGCAGATTCTTAAGGTCTGAAAATGCGACTCGTCCCATTTTCCATTTTTATCAAATTGGAGCTCGGGGAGAGGCGATTTTCGGGAGATTTTCAGAGAAAACAACGGGGTAAGTGTTCTTAACTTAATTTTGGTTAGATTACCCGAATCTATTACTAGTTTTGGCATTTAATTGGTGATTTTAGTTGGGAAAATCTTGAAAACCCTCTTGGTTTAATTTGAAGATTTGAGGGTCGAGTTGATGTCGGATTTTAGTAAAATTGGTATGGTTGGACTCGTGGTTGGATGAGGTTTCATATTCCGTAATTTTTGTCGGGTTCCGAGACGTGGGCCCCACGGGCGAATTTTGAGTGCAATTTCGGATTTTTAATGGAAAATGTAGAATTTCATATGGAATTAATTCCTATAATTTTTATTAACTGAATCGAATTATTGTGGCTAGATTCGAGGCATTCGGAGGTCGATTTGAGAGACGAAGGTATCGCGAGCTAGAGGATTAGCCGGTTCGAGGTAAGTAATGATGGTAAATACTGTCCTGAGGGTTTGAAACCCCAGATTATACGTCGTTGTGTTACTTTGAGGTGACTTGCACGCTGGATGACGAGCGTGGGGTAGAGCACCGCTGGGGATTGTGACCTAGTCCATCCTGAACGAATATTTTAATGCGTATTTGATAGTTAATTATTTGACATTATTATATTTTTGGACTGTATGTCATGTTTGGGGCATTGTGCCGACTTGTTGAGACCCTTAGGGGCATTTTTACTATCTTTCCTCACTCTATTTGTTTGAAAGCATATTCTCAGTCATGTTTTACCTGTTTACTGCTCAAATCTGGCTTTATCACTATATTCTTAAAATGTGCAAATTGTTTTGGGCTAAGTTCCTTGTTTTACTGAGATAAACCGAGGGTCTGATTGTGAGATTGATGACTGAGATAGACTGAGAGTCTGATGGTGAGGTTAAT